AAGCATCTATATGCAAGATTCTTGGCATGTAATAAAGTTATATAAAGCAGGGAATCCACCGTCATGGCAGGGGAGGTAGGGTGAGATGGAAATGAGGCATTTGTACACATAGTTAAAATATAAGATAGCAAATATGTAAGATGTAAGAACAAATGCTGTAAAATTCCAGAGGAAAAAAGATCTTCCAATTTAGTCAAAACTTTCTAGAGATTTTAAAGTGGGAAATGCCATCACATGGAGCTGGACAAATGTTAGCTCATAGATTGTTTGTAAGTGGCTTTGCATTGGTTCAGACTCATAGCATACAACAGAACCCGGTACAACACTGCCTGGTCCTGCAACACATCACAGGGTTCTCATGTTTGAGCCCACTGTTGCAGTCACTGTGTGAATCCATCTTGCTGAGGGTCTTCCTCTTTTTTACTGCCCTCTGTTTTACTAAGCATGATGTCCTTCTCCAGGGACTGGTCTCTCTTGATAACACTCCAAAGAACATGAGATGAAGTCTTGTTATTCTTGCCTCTAAGGAACATTTTGGCTGTACTTTCACAATAGAGTTGTTTGTTCTCATAATGTTAGCTCATACAGCAACTGTTAAATTCCTTAGTTGGTAAAATTATAAGTAATACAGCATATAATCTTAAAACATAAGTATACTTTTATGAGCCTTTTGTTTATATATATTTATTTACAAGTATTTACTAATACTTTTATTAGTTGGGACAATCCTTGTAAGAATTGCCATTTAAATCAGAAAATAATGTCTACTGAATTTCTTAGGCTTTGTTAAGTATTTTCATTTTTTTTACATTATTTGAAATAAAATCAATTTTCATCTTTTTATGTTTACATGTTTCTTCATTCAGCCAAATGACCTGCTGACCTTGGATCCATCACCTCCATGACCACCAGCCGGTAACCTTCCTACTTTCAGGTTTTGTCTTTCTGCTTCCTGGTTTGTCAGCTGTGACAGCAAACGCCTCCAATTGAACATCTGACTCAAGAACTTTAGCCAAACTAGACTTACGTGCTTTACAACTATGTTAGCCACTTTCTTGATATCAATGTCTTTCTTTAGATGCATGTATAAGCTTCACTAGTTTTGTTTCTCTAGACAACTCAGACTAAAACACAAAGCTATGTGAATAACAGGGTAATTTAAATTGTTCAATTATAAAAAATATCAATGCGTTTGAAGTATGGTGTTGGGAGGAATATTCAAAGTACCATGGACTGTCAGAAAATCTGCTTTAGAGGACGTACAGCCAGAATGTTCCTTCAAAGTGAGGATGGCAAGACTTTGCCTCGTATTCTTTGGCCATGCTATCAGGAGAGACCAGCCCTTGGAAAGGAGCATTATATTTGGTAAAGAGGGTCAGCAGAGGAGAGGAGATGGGCTGACAAATGACTGTAACAATGGGTTCAAATAACAGTTGTGAGGATGGTGCAGGATTGGGCAGTGTTTTGATCTGTTATAGACAGGGTTGCTACTAGTCTGAACCAACTTGATGACATTTAAAAATAATACCAGTATTTCTATGAGATTATAAATTATAATTACTAAACTATGTGAGTAACAGGATAGCTTTAATTGTTCAATTATGTAATATTTTCCTTTCTTTTCAAAGGAAAAAGTAAATTGGGAATGACAGGGAGTTACTTTGTTGCTAGTAGGATAGAGTGAAGACATGGACATAACACTGAAATAAGAAGAGCACTCTAGAAGTTGACTAATAATATTAATTGCCATGAAATCTAAAACATAAGCCAGGGAAGAAGGCACAGTCTTTTAAGAAATATATCCCTCTTTAAAAGTGCTTTTCATATAGATTTACAGTAATTTAATAGTTCTGCATGCTCTCTGGTTACAGTGAATGTATACATTTTGGGGAAATTGCCTAATTTCTATCAATATACACTTAAAACATTACTCACCGAACTTTCATGTGTGTCAGAAGCATTATCTTCCACAAAATACATTCCACATTTACCTGCAGAAAATAAATTGATATAATCCCTTAAAATATATTTGCATTATGATATATAAATTGTAGTAGTTAAAATCATGAGCTCTGCAGTCAATCATCCTACATTTAAATTTTAGCACTTAAAAATATTTTCTGGCCTTAAAGATATATTTTTAAATACTATCCATGAGATCTTAAAAGTCATTTAACTTATGTGTCTTAGTTCTTTCGATTTGAAAAAAATGGTGGGGCCCTACTTTACAGGATTATTATGGGAATCAAATTAAAATACATGTAAAATATTTAAAATAATGTTTGACACTCAGTGCTAAATACAAATATTACTGTTACTCTTCATAGATTATTGGCATATTGGCATCATTTTGTCACAAATTAATTGATGTCAAGTTGTAAATCAAATTTTTAAGCAAAGAGGAATCTTTCATTATTTTGTTGACTGAGATGCCCACTAAGGAAGGATCAGCTTTAAAGGAGAGCTTAAGTTCTTCCTGATTCATAAGCAGGTTATTGCTAACCAACATCCTGTTTACATGTGAAGCAGTTTCTGCCTCCTAGATGCTGGTCACTCTTTAGTCCTGGGTGAACCATACATTGGCATGGCCAATTCAGAGAAGGGCCTATGTCAATTATTATGACAGAGGGCTCTGTCTGGACAAGCTTGAAGTTTCACATCTTGGACCTTGAAGTCTGCAGCTTTTGTCAACAGTAGTGACTTTTAAACTCCAGGGTGCATCAGTGATATTTTGTCAGATTCTGTATGTGTGATAGTTAGGTTTTCTGTGCCAACTAGGCTGCCGCAGGAATGTGTAGGCAGAATTAAATCAGGTTGCAACTTGGTTGGAGGGCGACCAACTGAGATAAATAGCCCTTCAAGCACTCTTTCTCCCTGGTGATCAGTTCAGTGTGCTGCTGCTTTGACTCAACTGTGTGCTGCACTACCTGTGGGTCAAGCCAACTTGTGGACCTTGTCACCTTGCTGGGCATCAATAGAGCTTGAGCCTCAATTGGGACCTCCTTTGCTATTCATGCTGGTTGTTGCTGCCTTACCCAGCTACTCACTGCCTGCAGGCTGACTGTGCTTGTCTTGTCTGAGGGCAGATTCCGTGTGTCTGCTTCCTGGATTTTGGACCAGCAGCCAGCATAGAGTTGAATGAACTTCAGTATATTAACTGTTCCATGACAGTTAATTGAACTGAGCCCTCTGTACTGCTGTGTGAAATAATTATCTGTTATATATCTCCATATATATATATGGATATCACACACACATCAAATAATAAGTGTGCTGATTTTGTTTCTCCAGTGAACCCTACCTAACGCAATATGTACATTTCTAAGACATTTACCTATGATGCCAATGCTACTACTGGTTTAGGGGCCTAAAGTATATAAATTGATCCCTTACAAAAATAGAGACCAAGTGATATAATTTCATTTATTCCTATTTGTGGAAAAAATATAACTATACTGATACCTAATTTTTTCCTTTTTTTCCAGAAGCATAATAGAGAATATAAATTATAAATAACTTTAAGTTTACTATATGTTTATGCAAAGATATATCTATTAATAAATTAGGCCTTAATTATGTCAATATTGAAAGTGCTACAAAATCAAAGAGTTATTAAACATAAAGATGCATGCTCATATAGAAAGTCAGCTTTATAAAAATTAAAATGTTCATTTGCTTTGTAGAAAATTTCAATTTTTCATATTCATGAATTATAGGCATTGTACATGATGTTAAGGCAAAATAACAGGTGATACAAGAGAAACACTAGATTTATTGGTAATGTTCTTTAAAAAAAGGGCAAAAAAATAATGTAAGGTAAATTTGACTTGCTACTATGCACTGTCAGGTTGGCACCATCCTTACAGTTGCCGTTATGTTTGAGACCATTGTTGCATTCACTGTGCCAATCTATCTTGTCAAGGATATTCTCTTTTCCTGACCCTATACTTTACCTGTTACAGGGCTGAGTTTCTCCTGATAACATGTCCCAAGTATGTGAGATCAAATCTCGTCCTCTTTGCGTCTGAGCAGCATTCTGAATGTAATTCTTCCAGATGTGTTTGTTCTTTTGGCAGTCCATGGTACTTTCAATATTCTTTGCTAGCAAAATAATTCAAATATATTGATTCTTTAGTATTCCTTATTCAATGTCCAACTTTCATATGCTTTTGAGGCGACTGAAAATACCAACAACATCCTAGTTTTTCAACATTTCACAGAGGTCTTGGGCAGTCGATTTACCCAATGCAGTGTGTTGTTTGATCTCTTGACTGCGGCTTCCATGAGCACTGATTAAATCCTTGACAAATTCAATCTTTTCTCCAATAATCATGTTTCCTAGTGGTCCAATTGTAAAGATTTTTGTGAGTTGTGATCCACACTGAAGGCTGCAATCTTTAATCTTCATTAGAAAGTGTTTCCAGTCTTCCTTACTCTCAGCAAGTTGTGCATATTGCAGTTGTTAAGCATTCCCCCATTTCTGATGTGGCTTTCTTCTTTATATAATCCAGCCTCTCTGATTATTTGCTCATGATACAGATACAGTAAGTACAGTGAGAGGATTCACCCGACACACACCTTTCCTGATATTAAATCATGCAGTATTCCCTTGTTCTCTTCACACAACTGCCTCTTGATCCACGCACAGGTTTTACATGAGCAAACTATAGTGTTCTGGGAATTCCCATCCTTCTCAAGGCTATACATAGTTTCTTATGATCCACACAGTCAAATACCTTGGCATAATCAATAAAATACAAGTACACATCTTTCTGGCTTTCTCTGCTTTCAGCCAAGATGCACCTGACATCAGTAATGAAAGTCCTTCTTCCACGTCCTCTTCTGAATCTGGCTTGAACCTCTGGCAGCTCCCTGTCAATGTACTGTTGTAAATGTTGTTAGATGATCTTCAGCAAAATTTTGCTTGCATGTGATATTAATGATATTATTCTATAATTTATGCACTGTAGTGGGTCACCTCTCTTTGGAATGAGTACAAATATGGATATCTTCTAGTCAGTTGACCAAGCAATTGTCTTTCAAATTTCCTGGCATGGATGAGTGATGCTTCCAGTGTTTCATCGGCTTGTTGAAACATTTCAATTGTTATTACCAAATGCTGGGGACTTATTTTGGGCTAATTCCTTTAGTGCAGCTTGAACTTCTTTCACCTGTGCCATTGGTTCCTGATCATGTGACCTCTTGAAATGGTTAAATGTAAACTAGCTCCTTGTAGTACGGTGATTTTGTGTAATCTTTCAATTTTCTTTTGATGCTTCCTTCATTGTTCAATATTTTGCCCACAGAATCTTACAATATTGCAACTCAAGGCTCAATTTTTTCCAGTTCTTTCAGTTTAAGATATGCTGAGAGTGTTCCTTATTTTTTGGTTTCTAACTCTAGGTCTTTGCATATTAATTATAATATTTTACTCTGTCTTCTTGAGCAGTCCTTTGAAATTTTCTATCCAGCTCTTTTACTTCCTGATTTCTTCCATTTGCCTTAGCTACTCAGCGATGCAGAGCAAGTTTCAGAGTCTTTTATGACATCGCTTAGATCTTTTTCTTTCTTGCCTGTCTTTTCAGTGGCTTTTTAATTTCACTTACCTAGTAACAATTCGCCAGCTGTTTCTCTAGATGGTGCAACACTGAAACATCTTCGATTGACTCTGTCAAAACATATTAAAATTACTATGATTAAATGTTTTAATTAATCTATTGAGCATAAGTTTTATTTTATCTAGTGTACATTTTTAGCAAAGCAAACTAGTTTCAATAACATAATATGTCTTGTTAAAACTCACATGAAAATATAATTTTTCAATTTTCTGGTAGAGGTGAAAATGATTGAACCTTTTAGAAATAGATAATAATCCTTATATCTTTTATGCAGCATATTAAGACTCCAACATTCTATAATTTCCATTAAATGAGCAAAGAGTAGTTAATGCTTCTGATATTTCAAACACAGAAAAGATGTCTGAAGTTCTTGGAAAAACAAAAGACTTAGGATTAGAAAGATCTCCTATTTGTAAGGGAAGTTACTTATCTTCCTTGAGTCTGTTTTATAACTATAGTGTGGGAATGATAATAATGGCCACAAAGTGATAATAACAATGTGAACAAACATAAATGAGTTGCTATGGCATTGACTCTAACTCATAGTGATGTCATGTTTTCCTAAGCAGAACTGAACCGTGCTCCTGGGGATTTCAAGTGGTTTTGATCTATCATCGCAAACCAAGCCCTTTCTCTGAAGGACTTCTTGGATGGGTTTGAACCACCAATCTTTTGGTAACTAAAAGCTGCACATTTAACCATTTGTGCCATCCAAGGGTTTCAATATTATTAATAGCTAGCATATAGTGAACCCTTCTAACATTCTCAGCATTATTATGATATCTTGGGTCTTGATATTTTCCCCATTTAATAGATGAAGAAAATGACTCAAACAATATAAGCAACTTGCCCCAAATCAGGCAGCCTCTAGGAGGTGGACCAGAATTAGATTTTTTAATCACTATATACTAATGATTTTTCACAGATGTAAAAAACATTAACAATTTGAGGGAACGAATCCCTGGGTCTGGGGGCTCAAAACTGGGGGCTCAGGACCATAGCCTCAGGAGACATCAAGGTCAATAGGTATAGCTCACAAAGCCAAGGTTCTAAATCCTAGGTTTATAAATAGCTACTGGAGTCTTAAAAGCTTCTAAGTGGCCATCTAAGGTAGAATAAGTGGTCTCTCCCAGTCAAGAGGAACAAGAGTGACAAAAATCAAAGATTCATGGAACAACTTGTTCAATGAAATAACTGATCAAAAAACATCACTTTCCATGATCCTAAGAACAGAAAACCTAGAACGTACCCAGCTACCACTACCAAAAACACCCAGACTAACTGCAGTGGTTGAGTCTAGAAGATACCCCCCAAACTACTGGCCTGATATATTCTTTAAACCTTAACCCAAAATTATCACGTGTGGTCACCTTTTAGCTAAATGAAAAATTAATTCGCTGAAAAATCACTTAGGAGTAATGAACTCTTTTACAAAGTCATGTATATGAGACCAAATGGCCGGAAATGACTCAAAAGCAAAGACGAGAGTGTAAGGAGGAACAGTCAGCATGGAATGAATGAGAACGGTGACACACTTGTGAAAAATACAACCAAAATCAATTAAGTGTAAACAACTTGATAGAGGTTAATGTGTTGAGTAAGTTACCTTAAATACAATAAAATATTATTTTAAAAATACAGATCCTTGCATATCAGAAATGTTCTCAATTCCTTCTGGATTTCAGCTATTTAATGTTCTCCTCTCCTGAGCAACATTTAGAACATTGTAGTTTTCCAAACATTGTGGTTATCTAAAATAAATATTGCATAAACTATCCACAATGATGTATTAAAATTTTAAATTCCTTCAACAAAGGAGCACACTCCTTCAACAAGGGAGTAAGAATTATATTGACTCAAATTTACCTTATGGCTTCACTTGCAGCTTTGTCTTTTACCGTAGAAGAGAACGAGGAATGAATTTTGTCTTCAAATAGGTAAGAGAGTGGTAGTTTGACAATATCTGTTGAGGGAAAAACATTTAAAATCTTTATCTAATAACTTCATTATCAGTTATACTTATGTGTTGAGCCAAGAGAGATCACTGTTACCCTCTGGTTTTTGTCTATCCTGAAGGAGATACTTATTTGGAACAGTTAAATAACATCTTTGCAAACGCCTTCGTTCTCGATTTGGGCCTTCTGTTGGATCCAACTGCCAGGAGGTCGGATAGTAGATGGGGTCATACCAGACTGCCCTGTGAATGAAAGCCAAAGACGACTTAAGAGGCAATCTGAAACCATGCAGACTTAAATAAATAATTACAGAGATTAAATTAATACAATGTTGTTGAAAAGTTCATGGACAAACAAATTAAAGTGGAATTTTCTCACATATTTTTCAAAGCCTATTATAAAAAATAAGATCGATTCAATTAAAAAACAACAATATTTATATATGTAGACTAGGAGATCTATATGCATAATATATGCAATCTGAATCTGGTCTAGGAGAAACTCCTGTAACCAATGTTTTCATATATTAATCAAAACAAACAAAAAAAGCATTAATATGTCTCAACTAGATGGCACCTAACAACAACAACAACACATATTACCTCACCTGGAAGGCCATACCTGTCTTTATTGACTGAGCTTTGCTGAAAGCAAGAAAACCTGCTTTGGGGCATTTGTGGTTTCTGGTTCTGAACCCTGCATTTGGCTCACCTCTGTCTGACCTTCAGATTTGGGGCTGAACAATGCCCACCCCATGTGAGGCATTTTCTCAAAGTTTTGGGAGTGTCTGTGGGACATGGCAATGAATTTCAGAATCCAGGGATCTGAGAGAATATACACCCAAGGGAGGAATATGGACAAATAGATCAGAATATCATCTTGGAAGTTGGACATTTGGGACATGTTTAATTGCCAACTCCTTAGGATTAGTCTGGCATTAATTCTTTAAGAAATCATTACCACAGATACATCTTTTTTAAAAATCCTATTACTAAGTATTAGATTAAAAAGAGATCTATTTCCAACTATTGTGTTTCAGTTATTTCTCTATTTTGCAAGGATCATACTATTTAAATTAAAGCCAATTTTATAGATTTTACTATTTAGAAGACCTAATATTGGTCTCTCATTTTGCCCCTCAATCCCCCAAGAATTAAGACAAAAATATTCTCAAACAATTATCCTTTTAAATGAAATAAATCACAAATGAGTAAATAAAATATTTAAATGGATGGAATCATGTTATGGATTTCAATTCGACAACAAATCGTGTTTAACATTAGTATAGAAAAGCCACAGGAGTTCCTCTAATAAAGTTCTTCCTTCTACTGGGTCCTCCTAGTTTGCTTACCTATCATGAGTCAGTTGTTGAATCAGTTCTTGCCAATGTCTGCTGGCACTCAGATCTACTTTATACATTCCTCTGATGTGCTGAATCACCCTTTTTCTCTCGATTCCTTGGGAGAGTGATACAGCCTGGGTGATATCAGCAGCTATTTTAGATATATCCTTTGATTTTGAGTCTAGACGCTGAAAGAGACTAAGCAAACAGTAACACTGTATCAGGTATGCTTAAGTTGAACATTAAATGTATATAAATGATACTTTCATTACTAAAAGTTTATGTAAAACCCAATTGATTTGTAAAAGACATGATACGTATAAAAAGTAATATCTGACTTAGTTAACTATACAGCTATAACAAATACCACAAGGCTTATATCTTTGTATGACGGCCTTCTTTTTCCATCTCTGCTTTTTTACTTGCTTGTTTCATCTCTTTCATATCTCGAAAGAGACGGCTTAAGATACACCCTATTGGAAGTCCCACAGAGCAACTGGACTTTACCTTCTATACACACCCTGGCAGATTTAAAACCCCCAAACCAAACCCACCGCCACTGAGTTAACTGCAACTCAGAGCAACCTGATAGGTCACGGTAGAATTGCCCTTGTGGGTTTTTGAGACTGTAACTGCTTATAAGAGTGGAAAACCTTGTCTTTTCCCACAGAGTAGCTGGTGGTTTTGAACTGCTTAGCTTGTAGTTATCAGCCCAACATGTAACCAATGAAACACTCCTTTAGGTTTAAGGCTGAACTGTCCTCGTGTGAGAGGAAGCAGAATGACTACTATCTCCTAGTTACCGATTTGGATTTGGAAGTCACTGAATTTTAGTTCAAATCTCTTGCTTTGAAGGTGACCAATAAATGGCAATTCAAGGCTACCATATATTTCCTATTTTCATCTTCTCTTTGTTAGTTTATGATATATCTTACTCTAGTAGACTTAGTTAAGCCTTTGTGCATGAGTGTTATTAAAAGTTTTGGCCTATCTCCACCCCTCATTATTTGTGTAAATCGTGTCCAGTCACAAGTTTTGTTTTTTTTAGTCACAAGTTTTTAATCTGTACAAATGAACATTCCATGCATTTCGGTCTAAAAAACTGTCCCACAAGCACTGTTTTCTCAACAGTGTCTGAAATTTTATAGCATTGGCTAAATTACTGATATTATCAATTAAATGATCATACATATGCCCTGTGGGGATGATTTACAATGTTTTCAATAATGATGTCTCTAAAGTGAATCAGGGCATATATAAATAATATATAGATGAATGGATTTTGAGTTTGCACTCATCGTAGCCCTAATCTAAGAGCAATCAGTTCTTATGACATGGCCCTGCTCTGTCCTTGCCATCATGACGAGATCACTGAAGATATGAGAGCTGTAGAGCAGTGTGGTGAAGAAAGCAGATGGTGACAGGCTAGCAGAGGGAACAGCAGATGGGTTCTTATTGGCTGGTGTTAAAACAAGCAGCCATCTAAGTGAGGTGTCAGCTAAGTCTTCATGGAAGAAGCACACTAGCCTGTGTGATCCAAGGACTGTAAATAATAAACTCCAAATCTGGAGAACGGAATGTGGTAGAGCTGAAATTCTGAACAGCTGGTTCTGCAGAAGGCATGGATGACAGTGAAAGCTAAAAATGCATTTGCAGCTTCTGATATGGATTAAACCTCCAGGGAATTTCCCCTCACCATTGGCCAGGGATGTGAACGGATTTGCTATCAAAGTTCATTGTAGGGTGGACTACTACAGATATAGGTTAAAATGTGACACCTATCATTGATCTTCCTTTTGACCCACTGTCTATCTGTTACAGTTTTTAGTATTTTTTGTTTTCTTTTCAATTGAATCTTATCTCTGCTATTTTGTTCTGGTTTAGTATGTTCTTCTGTTTCCAGGATGAGTATATCTATGGGGCCAGTAACTGGATTTTTGGTTTCCTGAGGGAAAGCTGGAGGAAGTTGGAAGAAATGGGGAGCTGGTGACCATGAGTACAGAAAGGAAGAAAATATCCTGGAGTTGATTGTAGTAATGATTGCACAGCTCTTTTTAAAATGACTGACTATGGATCTATGTGATTATGTGAATTAAATGCCAATAAAACTGTTAAAAAAATTAAAATGTCAGAAAAGGAGCCATGTCCTACATATCTTGTCTCTTTAATATAACAAAGATAATTCATTCCTAGTGGAATTAAAACTAAAGGCATATAAATTAGGATTTATGACACATAATTTGGAGGGATTAAGTTCAACCTATAATGATATCCTACCTTTGCTGATTATTATTAACTGTTTTCTGCCATGTAGCTTTATGCACATCTTCTTCAGTTTCATATTTCTTTTGCTCCTAAAGGATTTAGATAACAATATATATATATTTGTGTATATATAGATATATATATTAATTTTATTGCTTCTCATTTAACTTTAAAAAAATAATTTCATTGGGGGCTCTTACTGCTCTGATAACATTCCATACATCAATTGTATCAAGCATATTTGTACATATATTATCATCTCATTTTCTAAACATTTACTATTTGAGCCCTTGGCATGAGTTCCTCTCCTCCTCACCCTCCCACCCTCGTGACCCCTTGATAAATTATAAATGATTATTTTCATATCTTACACTGACCACTGTCTCCCTTCACCCACGTTTCCGTTTTTTGTTCCCCTTGGGGAGGGTGGGGTGGTGGTGGTATGCACTGATCACTGCTATCAGTTTCCCATTCCTCCCCTCCTCCCTCACCTTCCCCCTACCCTTCTGATATTGCTACTTCCATTTCTGTTCCTGAGGGGTTTATCTAACCTGGATTTTGTGTGTCATGAGCTCTTAGCTGTACCAATGCACATGTTCCAGTCTACCCAAAACTGAAAGGCAGAACTAAGGTCATTGTGGTGGAGGGTGAGGAAGCCTCAACGAACCAGAGGAATATTGTATGTTTCCTTGGGGCTATACTGTACCCTGGTTGACTCATCCCTTCCTTGTGACTGTTCTGTGAGCGGTCACATATTGTCTATAGATGGATTTTGTGTCTCTGCTATGACCCCCCTTGTTCTCAATAATATGGTTTTTTTTTTGGAGGGGGTCTTTTGGTGCCTGTTACCTGATTCTGTCGATACCTCATGATCACACAGGCTGGTGCGCTTCTTCCATGTGAGCTTGCTGCTTCTCTGCTAGATGGCCACTTGTTTAACTTCAAGCCTTTAAGGCCCTAGAGGCTATATACCTTTTGATAGCCAGGCACCATCAGCTTTCTTCACCACATTTGCTTATGCACCCATTTTGTCTTCAGTGATAGTGTCGGAAGGGTGAGCATCACAGAATGCCAGGTTGTTAGAACAAAGTGTTTTTGCATTGAAAGAGGGCTTAAGCAGAGGCCTAAAGTCCATCCACTTCCTCAATGTACTGGCATATAAATATATGTACATAGGCCAATACCTCTATTTTTATGAATTAATATTTACATAAGTATACACCTATGTTTATACGTCTATCCACAGCTTTGCTTCCTAGATATTTCCTTTGTTTCCTTTTACCTTCCTCTTGTCCCACCTTCACGCTCACCCTTCTTCTGCCTCTTAGTAATTCCTCTCAGCTAGTTTCCTGTTGCTCCAACACCACCAGGATTTCTACATCCTCCTTGTTGTTGCTTTTAATTCCCTAGTTGTTCACCTGTCTATTCTCATTTGACATTGGTATAGATCAGTGGTTCTCAACCTTCCTAATGCTGGGACCCTTTAATACAGTTCCTCATGTTGTAGTGACCCCCCAACCATAAAGTTATTTTCATTGCTACTTCATAATTGTAATTTTGCTATTGTTATAAATCAGGTGACCCTTATGAAAGGGGTGTTTGACCCCCAAAGGGGTTGCAGCCCACAGGTTGAGAACCACTGGTATAGAGTACAACAAATAGATTTAAAGGCAAGAGATCAAGATATATTAAAATCACTGAGATAATTTTGAAATTTCTATTTCCCCCTATACTTTGAATCATGGAAATTAGGTAGGATAGGTAACTAGGGCTGCAAAATCGGAATGAATTTATTACTTCCTTATTTTGCTTTTTCATTAAAGAACCAATAGCTCAATGTTTATGCTTTAACTTGCTTGTCACGAAAACATAAAAATCTTTCTATCACTGATGACATTATAAAAATGACCACAGAGAATAAAACTCTCCTTAAAAGTAGCCCGTGGGATTTCTTTTTATTTTTTAAAAACAATACTAGCTAAACTCTCAGTAAAAAATTATCAAGCAAAAATTTAAAAATATTATATATTTATCATAAAGCACAATTTAAAACATTATTTCAATTATTCTTTATATCCAATGGAATCCCTTTAGAAACAATTGTTTTCACTGACCCACCTCTTTGATCATCTTAATAAGGTCTGACTTCGTTGCTGCACTGGGAGGAATGCATTTTTGGCCACATAACTTTAAAGTATTCATAAGCAATTCTGCCATCTCTAGCTCCTCTTCAGTCAGCTCAGTTTGGTGATTGTGCATCAACTCTGACAAATACAAAACCAATTTTGCTCCATGCTGTTAAAAAAAGTTAACAGTTTATTTTTAATAAAGAGTTTTTATTTTTACATTTAAATATTTAATAGCAATGATGCATGCATTAAATTATATTGCTAGAGTTAACTATAAAGGTAACTTATAACATAAATTTGCTATAACAAATTAAAACCTAGTTATATGTCATTACATGGAAAATGAACCAAAAATAAACTAGCTTATAAACCTATTTTAAAGAGGTCTCTTTTCTCTATGAAAGCATTTCTAAAACCTAACTTCTAGGTAAATCTAAATTTTACATGACCAGTGACAGGGAGGCAGGTTTGTCATAAAATTAGTGCTGAGTAACTTTTTGTGAGCAACTTGATTTCAAGAGTTCTGTGGAATGTGAAAATCCACTAGGAAATTTAGGATTAGAATCTTATCCTTTCCTTCTCTCATCCCCAACATACATTTTAGGTCAGTATACCTTTTAAAACATACACACACACACATATACATACATATACACACACACACACACATACATACACACACACCTATTCTAGGCTGTTGTTTTTGTCTCCCATTAAGTTAATTCTCACTCAAAGCAACCATATAAAATAGAGCAGAACTAGCCCAGACTATAATCCAGTGGTTCTGAATCTTCCTAATGCCGCGACCCTTTAATACAGTTCCTCATGTTGCAGTGACCCCCAAACCATAAAATTATTTTTGTTGCTACTTCATAACTGCCATTTTGCTACTGTTATGAATCGGGCCACCCCTGTGAAAGGGTCGTTCGACCCCCAAGAACGGCTGCTATAATCTTTATGGGAGCAGAGCACTAGGGTTTTCCTCTTTGCAGTAGCTGGTGGTTTGAACCACCACTTTTCAATTCATGGCCTAATATTAACCATTGAGCCACCAAGGCTCCTTCACAACAGGCTAAGGAAATATAAAAATATGTTGGCTGGCATACACATATCAAAGTGCTATTGTTAGGTGTCATCAAGTCAGTGCCAACGATAGTGACCCTAAGCACAACTTGTGTGCCACCCTCACAATTGTTCCTATGGCACAGACCATTGTTGCAGCCACTCTGTCAATCCATCTTGTTGAGGACCTTTCTCTTTTTGCTGCCCCTTTATTTTATTAGGCACGATGTCTTTTTTCAGAGACTGATCACTCCTGACAATACGTTCAAAGTACGTAAGACAAAATCTCATCATCGTCTCTAAGGAGCACTCTGGCCAAACTTCTTCCAAAACACAGATTTATTTTTTGTCCTTTTGGCAGTTCTAAGGAGCCCTGGTAACATAGTGGTTACACATTGGACCATGATCTACAAGGTCAGCAGTTCAAAACCACCAGCCTCTCCATGAGAGAAAGATAGTCTGAAACTTACAGGGGCAGTTCTACCCTATCCTATGGGGTCACTATGAGTTAGCAATGACTTGATGGCAATGAGTTAGGTACTTTTAATATTCTTTACCAGCACTACATTTCAAATGCACCCATTCTTCTTCGGTCTTTCTTATTCATTGTTCAACTTATACTTGCATATGACACAACTGAAAATATCATGAGTTGGGCCAAGCATACCTTAGACCTCAAAGTAACATTCTTGCTTTTAAACACTAAACAAGTTTTAAACACTACAAGTTTTGTGTAGCACATTTGCCCAGTGCAGTACAATATTTGGTCTCTTGACTACTGCTTCCATGAGCATTGGTTGTGGATCTAAGCAGGACTAAATCTTTGACATCTTTAACCTTTTCTCCATGTTACCTAGCAGTCCAGTTGTGAGGATTTTGGTCTTCTTTATATTGAGTTGTAATCTATACTGAAGACTATCCTCTTTGCTCTTCAACAGCAAGTGCTTCAAGTTCTCCACACTTTTAGCAACAAAGATTGTGTCATCTGTGTTAATAAACCTTCATCCAATTCTGAGCCCACATTCTTCTTCATGTAATCCAAATTCTCTGATTATTTGCTCCACATACATATTAAATAAGAATGATGAGATGATACAACTCTGTTACACATCTTTCCTGATTTTAAACCATGCAGTATTCATTCCCTTGTGTTGTTCACACAACTGCCTCTTGACCTATGTACAAGTTCTGCATGAGCACAATGAAATGTTATGGAATTCCCAAGGCTATTCAGAGTTAGCTATAATCCACACAATCCAATGCTTTGGCATAGTCAATAAAACACAAGTAAGTATCTTTCTAGTATTCCCTGCTATCATCCAAGGTCCACTGACTTCAGCAATGCTATCTCTTGTTCCATGACATTTTTAAAATCTGGCCTGAACCTTTGGTAGCTCCCTGTTAATATATGGCTGCAATTGTTGTTGGATGACTTTCAGCAGAATTTTACTTGCATGTGATATTAACGATATTTTTCTATAATATGAGCATTCTGTTGGGTCACCTTTCTTTGAAATGGGTACAAATATGGAACTCTTCCAGTCAGCTGTCCAAGCAGCTGTCTTCCACATTTCCTGGCATAGGTGAATAAGTGATTCCAGTGCTTCCTCAGTCTCTTAAAACATTTCAATTGGTATCCCAGGAATTCCTAGAGCCTTGATCAATTATATATTGTTATTGTTTCATATCTTACACTGTCCATTGTCTCCCTTCACCCACATTTCTGTTATTCGTCCCCTTCAGGGGGGAGGGGCTATATAGCCAAGCTTGTGATGGGTTCCCCTTTCTCCCCCTTCCCCCTCCCTGACCATCCCCCTACCCTTGTGATATCTCTAGTCCCACTACTCTTCCTGAGGGGGTTAATCTGTCCTGATTCCATGTGTCCAGAGCTCTTATCTGTACCAATGTGTGTTCTCTGGTCTAGCCAGATTTGTGAGGTAGAACAGGGTCATGGTAAGGGTCAACTAGTTCTTTTAGGTAAAATGGCTCCTTATTCTTCCCATTTTTTTTGTATGCAAAACATTTTATTTATATTAGATCAACATTTTGTCATGAAAGTTAGCCACTTTCAATTTCTCAGGAATTGAACAGTTACTTCCCTGGAAGTGAAATGAATCATTTCAGAATGACATTGCCTGGGAGGGGTAAGGGATGATTTTATCAGATTGAATGTGGGGTAGGTTAGTTTTCTTAGGGAGTAAATGTCATTCAATTATGTTTCAAGTGTATTCAACAGATAGTTAAGTCAACTTTGTGCATCCACTGTACTCAACAGATAATCTCTTTATCAAAATATTCCTATCTTTCAAAAAGGCTTCACCTTAAGACCCCAGGCCAACCAAACACCTGCGGCTTCCATTTCTAAGACCGCTGTTTTAGACAATATAGACAAGGGCCATATCCCAGTGCAATTTGTATACACACTTAAGACTACGTAATACAGATGACACACATAGTAATAGCTCTGATTTTAAATGCGTGATGTGGGAACTAGCCACTAACATTCGATTCTAGCCAATGCCATCTTCATGGAGAGCAACAAAGCTGCTTCCAGTGTCCCAACTTTTCAGTATTGCTGTAATCCACAGAACGAAAAAAACCAAAATCTGAAATGAATATCATTAGAAAACGACATCCTGAAATAAATTACTTGGCATAAGTAAATGTTAAATGTCAGGTCCAAACCATGTTTTCTTCTGTATTTCACTATGGGAAACCTTTATAACAAATCATTCGCAAGGTCACCTTTACTTGAGCAGACTGAAAGGTTCACCTTGGTCACCACTCCACAGGCTTATGTGCTCTGCTCTCTTTCCTCCGGAAGTCCCTGACATGCAGCCAAGGGCTGGGGAGGTTGAAACAGCACTTGAAGAACGTTCATGAGAGCTCTGAGATGTAGAATATTTCATCATCATGATTGACTTGCTGTAGGGTTTGTGACAAAGATTCATCACAGCATCAATTCTTTCTATCTTCTTTTGATGCTTCCTGCATCATCCAATATTTTGTCTACGGATTTTTTTGATATTACTACTCGTCTTGAGTTTTTTTTCTTGAATTCTTCCACTTTATGATCTGAGTGTTTTCTTCCATTTTGGTTTTTAACATGGTCTTTGCACACGTCATCATAATATTTTACACTTTGTCGTTTCAAGTTACCTTTTGACATTTTCTGTTCAGCTCTCTGACTCCATCATTTTTCCATTTGCTGATGCTGCTCTACGATTAAGGAAAAGTTTCAGAGTCTCTTCTGACATCCACTTTGATCTTTTCTTGTCTTTTTAATGACCTGTCACTCTTTTTAATGAATGATATTCTTGACGTCCCCCCACTAGCCATCAGGTCTTCTGTCATTAGTGCCCAGTGTAACAAATCTTTTCTTGAGTGTTTTTAAAATTCAGGTGGCACAAAGTTATATTTTGACTCAGATGAACTTGTTTTAATATTCTTCAGCTTCAACCTACACATATGAGCAATTGATGGTCCGTTCCACCTGGCCTAGATTTAGCTGCTGACATTGAGCTTCTCCATCATCTCTTTCCACAGGTGTAGTCAATTTGATTTCTGTGTATTCCATCTGCATAAGTCTATGTGTAGAATTGCCTTTTGAGTTGTTAAAAAATATTTGCTATGAACAATTGTTGCTATGAACCAACAATTTTGTTGGTTTTGCAAAATTTTTTAATCATGTGAACTCCAGCTTCATTTCTGTCAGCAAGACCATATTTTCCAAATACTGTTTCCCCCCCACCCCCTCAACTTTTGCATTCCAATAACCAATAATTGTCGATGTATTTTGATGACATGTTTGATCAATTTCAGACTCAAGATGTTGGTAAAATTCTTCAACTTCTTCATCATTAACTTTCATGATTGGTGCTTAAATTTAAATAACAGTTGTCTTGATTGGATTTCCTTGAGGGAAGATAGATATAATCCTATCTCAGACATCTCTGTCCTTCAAGATAGATCTTGAAATGTCCTTATTGAGAATGAATGCATTCCTCTTGCTGTGTTATTCCTGGTATAGTAAACAATATGATTTTTAAAATTCAAAATAACCAATATCAGTTCTTTTCAGCTCACTAATACTTAGGACGTTGA